ATATATATATATTATATGCTTTTATAAAGCCAATTTGATCAAGTAATTTAGTCGAAGCATAAATTAGAGTTTGAGGGTCCATTTGGGGCAGTTTATTTAGTGCGATGTCATTTTGAAAAAACACCTGACCTGTTTGGGTACATTGTGTTTTGATAGCTAATGCGTTTTCAAAATGCTGACCTGTCTAGGTGCGGTGACAGCTTTCTGGCTGTGATCTGGCTTTTTCAAAAAAATAAAAATTTGTAATAGCTACCGCACTTAGCTTATCAGCAGATTATTTTTAATCACCTTATCAAAAAATTATTCAATAAGTCGCAGCTGTCCCAAACTGACCCTGAATCTTTCCTTCTTAATCAAGACTAATTCGATTGTCCTTTTTTTCATAAGGAAGAAATTTATCATAAAATTTTGTAGAATTTAGTTTATTAAATAATTTAAATTCTGTTTTCAAAATAACTTTCTAGTTTAGGTGTGAATATGTAAATACATTAAAATTGTATCCTTTGTATGTAAAATCCCCTTATAAAAATTTATCAGTAATTTATTCAACATTTTTACCGACATAGGACGGATTTGACACACAAATTTATGCTATCTAACAAGAAGCCCAACCAATGAACGATGTTTAAGTTGATTGTGGAGCTTAATTTTAATTTATTTAAAAAAAAAGTTTAGTTAAAATTTATATAATATTAAATTTATATATAAATAAAAATTATGTAATATATATGTAAACTATGAAGTATCTGCTATATGAGAGAATATTACATCAGGTGTGACGCCACATGTCAAGTGGGATCCACCGTAATATCAGGATTCTTAACGTAGTTTGCGTTCGGAGTCAAATGGTGTGACGCCACATGTCAAGTGGGATCCACCGTAATACACGGGTATTGACCGGTGATAAAAACGGTGGAGCCCACTTGACATGTGACGCCTCTCTATTAAACTTCGAATGCATCAAGAGTCTTGATGTAATATTTTTTCTTGCTGTATAGCTCCATGATATGGAACTAAAAGCAAATTATTTAGTGTATATAAAATAGGGAGGAATCTAAGATTAATTGTGGATGGAGAAAGCATCAATTCCCTTCGGCGATGGGTTAATTAATGGATCGTCGTTCACCTCTCTTTTGCCCAATTATTAGAACCAGTGGTAGGATGGTGGGCCCCACATTGTCAACTGATGAGGTTTGACCAATTAAATTTTGTTTTGATTCGGGCGATGCAAAGTGCTTGCTTTTTTAACGCGTTGCATGGGAGCGACATTCTTCCCTTCCATTAAAGCAAATTTCTGTGCGGGCCCCCACTAAACTTTGGAAGTAGAAAGTAGAACCGGTTTGGCTCCACCTTCAAATATACCAAAAATGTTACATGCAAAATGACAAACATGATACAAAATTTATTTTTTATATCACGTTTATACACTCCTTGTACCTTATGGTACTAAATTTGTATCTTCAGGTACAAGCAGGGTATAGGCATGATACAAAATTTGTACTCTCAGAAGGGTACAAAATTTGTACTCTGCTTGTACCTTGAGCCTATTTAAATGTGTTACGTGTCATGATGTTATTGGAGTTCAGATATATTTGAACTCCACACTTAATATTGTTTTCCAAATATACACGATTGCACTACACTACAATGACTTTGATCAATCCTTAATATTACATACAAGGACATAAAATTCAATTAATAAGATAATTATTATTCTTTGCAAAACAAATTAGCCATCGTTGGTCATTTGAAATTGATAGTATGTTATAAAAATAATACAATATGTTGTTAATGAATTAATAGAACAGAAATGAGTATCAATACTAATATTCTCAAGACTTTCTAAGAATGATGATTTTGAACATGCATGTATATATAGCATTTCATGCAAGCACTAAGTGTGCAATTATCAAAGTAAATTAGGCTAATACAGATAGATTATATATACAAAGCAGCTGGCTCATGATTGCACGGGGCTCTTCTCTAGCCTATTCGGAAAGCTCTCCGCTACTTGTTAGAAGAATAATAAGCTTAAAGAGACAGCAGATGTCTTCCACCTTTCTTCTTCCCACTACGGTTTATATATAAACAAGCTTCAGAACTATTTATTTCTAGTCTATTTTCATATATAGGGCTGTCAAAAAAAAATTTGTTGTTCAGGAACAGTCATGTTCAACTCGTTTTAGCTCGAAATAATATATATATATATATAATTGATGAGCAATATTTTTAAATAATTTGGTTGACTATAAAGCTACAAAAATTTATAATCAATTAAAATTATTAATAAAAAATAAAATAAAATATATATTAAATTATGTTTAAATGATGTTTGAATATAAATAGTAAGATTAATATCTCGCTCATACATATAACATCCTATTGTTGTTTAATGCAGTTGGAACCTTTTCTCTAAACATTTGGTTCAGGTTCGAATACAATATTTTACATTTGTTTTTTTCAATTTAATTTTAACAAGTCAATTTCGAGCCAAATCCGAGCACGAATATTTAAATCGAGCTGAACACGAACACACTGTTCACGAACCGATTTCGAACACGAGCCAGCCCGAGCTCGTTCAAGCGTTGCTCGTTTACAACCCTATTCATATGTATATGTTTATATAACGTCTAAATTTTAATATCTATTTTACCTAACATTTAAATTTTTCAATCACAACAAAAAGGGACAAATTACATATAAAAAATTGCTCTTTTTTTGGGGGGGTTGGAATTGCAATAACCCTACTTGTTATTCTTTTGGGGGGGGGGTTGGAATTGCAATAACCCTACTTGTTATTGCAAGTTAAAGAACGATACGCAAGAGAGAGAGAGAGAGAGTTAGAGAGAGAGAGAGAAGAAGGCAGATAAAGAAGAAAGACAGAGTACTGAGACCTCAAGCCATCTCTTCCAAAAGAGAAACGCACCCTATTCCTTCATATATGCCAATTCTTTCTCATTGAATCTCCTCTAATTCCTTTGATATCAGTTGAGGAAAAAATAAAAAAGAAAAAGAAAGAAAGAAAGAAAGAAAGAAGGAATGTTCTCTTCCAAGAAGCCAACTATGAATTCACATCCTGAGAGCAGGGCTCCTCTGTGTGTTCCGGTCGACTCCGGCCTCGTCCTCACCACCGACCCCAAACCTCGCCTCCGGTGGACCGTCGAGCTCCATGAACGCTTTGTCGATGCCGTCGCACAGCTCGGCGGCCCTGACAGTATCTCTTCTTTCTTCTCTTCTTCAAGCTCTGGCTTCTTCATCTCCTCGCTTCTCTTATGAATGTTTGATTTTGTGCAGAGGCTACGCCAAAGACTATCATGAGGGTTATGGCTGTCAAAGGTCTTACTCTTTATCACCTTAAAAGCCATTTGCAGGTTGTTATATGATGAAGAGAATTGCTAGCGATTCATATGTTTTAGGTTTGTTATATTTATATTGATTATATATTTATGTTGGTGTATAGAAATTTAGGCTTGGGAAACAGCCGCATAAGGAATTTTACGACCATGCCAAGGATGGTGAGAGAATTTAATTTCTTTCCATAATTATATATATATATATATATATATTGAGATTAAATTGATATGCATTTTGTTACTGTGGATAATTCCAAGAGCAGCTCTTGATATGCAAAGAAATGCAGCATCTTCTTCTGGGATTATGAGTCGAAGCATGAATGAGTGAGTTGCTTCTTGAAATTCTACATATGGCAATTTCTCAGCTATTTAACTTCTCTTTTTTTTACCTTTTTACTAATTAGAATTGAATATTTACTTTTTTTTAATTATTTTTTAAATTCTACCTTCCTTTTTATAGCAGGAACGTCCATATTACAGAAGCACTCAGGATGCAGAAGGAGGTTCAAAGACGACTGCATGAGCAATTAGAGGTTTTTATTTATATATATTTTATTTTTTGTTTCAAAGAAAATTGGCATTTGGCAGAAATCAAAATATCGATTTCCCATGTGTTAGGCCTCATGGAGAGAGTCTGCATTATACGCCTAAATATTTGTGAACTCAGTGCCACTGGGGATTGAACCAATGACCTTAGGGGACTTACAGTGAACCCCGCTAATCAACATTATATAATTTAAAATATTTGTACCAAACTTTAGCAGAGAATAGAAGACCAATATACAGTTACTGTTCTTGCTTTGTAGACCTTTGATTTTTCCTCGCCTTATACATAAAAAATATTTATTTATAACCGACAAACTTTAGCAGAGAATAGAAGACCAATATATAGTTATTGTTCTTGCTTTGTAGACCTTTGATTTTTTCTCGCCTTATACATAAAAAATATTTATTTATAACCGTTATGATATCTTACAACATAATGAAAAAAATATATTTCTATTCAAATCTGTCTTGTATCTTGGACTAAAAACAAGCCAAGAACATATATCACCATGCACATTTTTTTCTTTATTTTCGTATGACTATTTCACCATATGCATATATAGGTTCAAAAGCACCTTCAAATGAGAATTGAAGCCCAAGGAAAATACATGCAGTCCATATTAGAGAAAGCATATCAAACTCTAGCTGGGGAAGAAAAATCAATCCCTGCCACAGCAAGCTTCAAATTTCACTTCCTTCCAAGACCTCCATTTATTCAACAATGAACAGCTCGAAATGTCTCAGGACCACTTCTTCCCCACAAATGAAATTCTTTCTTTGGGAAAAAAGAGACCTATTAATTCATACTTTTGTTCAAATGGAAAGAGTCCAATGGTTTGGTCTGATGAACTCAAAATACAAGAATTTGGACCTCATGAAGAAAACTCTAAGATTGATCATGAAAGTCTGCAAATTGCACCAACAGTTACTAATGGAGGAATGGAGATGGATAGGAGTGTAGGTACTCCGGAGAGGATGAGTCCAATGATCAGAGGTGGTGGATTGGGACAAACAAGGAACTTGTCTTATGCTTGAGTCAATGTATGAGATATAAAAACCTTTTTTTTAAGTTAATTGCATGATTAAATAAGTAATTTAGTGTTTAGAGTGGGTGTTTGGCTACTTAAATATTAGTAAAATGCTTGATTGAAAATACAAGTTATGTTGGTTCCATGCAAATCAATAGTTGTTCAAGCTAAATAAATTTGAGTAGAAATATTAATTTGTATTGAGTTTTTTTTTTTCTTTTATATCTTCTTTTAACGATTTAGGCTTGCCTGTTCATGGGTTATTTAGTGAGAATTTAATTAGTTTCAGGTTTTGAAGTTCAGCTGAGAATATAATCAATTTGCTTGTACAGTTCTTAGGATCATACAGGTTATATGCAATAAATTAATTGTATTATTGCTGATAATATGTAAAGTAGGGGCATTTACATTCTAAACCATTACAGAATGGAAGTGAAAATGAGCAATTCAAAGCAAAATACTCATTATTATTAACAGAAGAATATTATAGTCTGTTCTATTTGCAAAATGTATGACTATTTAATTTTAGACATTGTATATCATTTAATTTGAATATATAAAAAAATTGAAATTTGGGGTACGTTTGGGGCAGCTTGTGCGTTTCAGGATCAGCAATTTATCTAGAAACAAGGCCTGCAGGTCGACCACAGCGTTCGATTGCATTTTAGGATAAACAGTCAAAACGCGCGAACCAATTAGTGCCGCGGCGTTTTCACAAACGCCCCCACAATTATAAGCTGCCCCAAAATGACCCTTAACTTATTATATAAAAATGCATCATTTTAAAGTAAGTTAGAGGGAAAATAAGTAGTTGTAAAGTTGATTGGATGCAGAAGCAATTTAAGGAGATTTGTGTAGACACCGATCAAAGAGAGAAAAGAAAAACAAATATTGACCCAAAAAGATGAACTTAACGGAAAGAAATTGAATTTAAGATGAGACTAATTGATGAATGGTTTATTTCAAGCCTTTGAAAGGCAGAAAATTGGAATATGTATGGATAACATTTGTATATGTTTTTTATTCAAAAAATTAAAGCTGTGTGATCGGCAAGCTTGCATGCTATTTATTAATATGCATGGAAAGATATGCACGTGATCAAGAAGCACTTTGATGCACATGCAATTTTAGCCTAAGTTACTCTGCTTTGTGCACCAAAGATTGAATTTCATCATTTGGTCCACTTTATTTAGTAACATGGTGCTCAAGAATTCTTTTTTTAAGAGATTTATTAGGGATTATTTAAATGATTTTTAAGTAATTGTTGTTAACATTATCATAAATATGATGAAATACTAATTATTATTTCTTACATTTTCTTTTTTTTTTAATTATTGTTCAGACATCTAAAATTTTAATAAAATTTTAAATATGATTTAAGTACTTAATGAAAACTTAATGATAATATTTTAAATTTTGGCATATTTTGACTTTAAAAGTGTAACTTGTTTTAAAAATTTTGATTAATATTTATGTTGACAAAAAATTAATACAATTAATTTTTTTTATAAATGTATGACTTATTAGTTATCTCTAATCTTAATAAAAATAGTTTTAGCTAAATGAATTGATTAATTAGTCATAAAATTTAATTAAGTGTAATAAATAACTATTAAATGTGACTTACTAATTAGGTTTTAAAAATCGTGATACTTATTTTCTATATTTAATCACACTCGCAAGAAAACGTCAGTCACAACTAATGATTTTGAAAAATATACTAACACCACTTCTATATTTAAGTTTCAAATTAATTAGAACTCAAATAATACTAGAGATTAAACAAAACATGATGTACTATGCTTCAAAATATGACCTATTAACTATTTAAAAAAAAATTATATGTACAAGGGTTGCGAACACACGAATTTATTACAAGTGCAAGACATTTATTCAAAACACTCTGACATTTGTAAGAAAATATCAAGCAACTTAAAATCATCATTTAATCATTAATACGATGGCTCCCCTAATAAAAATTTGGAATAGATAAATATTTTTTCTTAAGAAAATAATTTTCATAACAATAAAATTTGATTTTTCTATGGATTTGAATAAATACATTTGTGCGAAGAATTAATGATGCAATTAATATTCAAATAAAGTTATTCTTGCTAAAATTTTAATCCATTTTTTATGTGTTTTTGCCCATCATCATTTCTAATTACTTTTCTAACAATGCAATTAATGACTCTATAAATTTAGGCTACAAAAGTCCCCATGATCTCATGGAGGACACTATGTAAATAATCGAGGACTATTTTGCCACTTTACTCATACTCTATATGTTTGTAAGAGAAATTTAAGAATAAAATCTTCAAGAGTATAAATAATTACATGAAAAATTTCTCATCTTTATAGAACCGAGACTCACCCATCCCCTAATTTCACCATTCATTGAAGCCCTTTAATGTTTTGCTTTGTGGTAGCCAACCTAAATGCTCGCATCATTACATGCAAAACTCAAATAAACTATAAATATGATATATTCATCAGAAATTACTAGAAGAATTATAAACAAAATCAGGTGGCAAATCCTAGGCTTATTGATCTAGCTTCCATGAGAGCTAAAGCCGAATAAAAGTGACTGACATATGTTGCTAGTCTTATTAGGGTTTTGAATTCTTATATATATATATATATATATATATATAGTAACAACAACTGTACGCTCTTCCTTCTGAAACCTACCTATATTCTTCCAGCCCTTTTATGTTTTTGCATGTTTGCCTTTAATTCTCTTTTGGTGGGGACTAAAAGAGAGAAAAGCTGTAGAGTGCAGCATATATAGTTAGCTAGCTTTATTGGTCTTAGTGAAATCTGGAGAGCTTGCAGGCTGGAGAGAGAGTGAAAGAGAAAGAGGTGGATTACTTGATTTGTGTTGATTAAAGTCTATACTTACTTGAAATTAGAAAATAAGACATAAGTTCATAAAATTACTAGTTTTATGACCATGCATGGTGTAATTGACAATCAATTGAGTTTAAACTCAAGCTTGTACAACCTTGAAGTATCATGAAATTAAAAGATTTTGATTTAAGGCTTAAACTAATAAAATGAAATTGATTAGTTTTAAAAACTTTTAATGAGATGATGTTGGAGAAGTAGTTAATACATTTAATTACGTCCAGGATTACTTAATGATAATCTTCAAGTCTATAACTCATGAGAAACTTTTTAACGTTAAAGGGCAAAAGCATGCATACCCACGGGTGCAGTTTCCCAGGAAGCTTCTCTGGAGCTGGAGAAAGAAGGGAGAAAAGAGCAATGTAGCTGGAAGCTTTGGGTTTTGGAAAAGAGAGAAAAGAAAAAGCGAAGGATTCGGGATAAGGAGAACCGTTGCTGGGATCGAGAGAGATTATGAGGGGAGAAGGAAGCTTCGCTTCTTTTTGGCGCAGCGACAGAGCGTGGATCAGTTACAGTCTGTAAGTGAGTTTGATGCAGATTAATGTAGGGTGTAAACGCGGCTTGTTTATATTTCGACCTCAAAAAATGTGTTTGTGTTCGGCTCTTTAAGCACGTTTGCTTAACGAGCCGAACACGAGTTGTTCACGAACAAAGAGTCCTTTTAACAACCCTAATCACGTAGTCATAAGACAATAAAGATTTGAGCAAGATTTAAAAATTATTATTTATATTAAAACATCATTTGAATCTAATTTAATAATTTTATTCTATTTTCTTAATCAATATTTTAATTGATTATAAATCTTTGTAGCCTTGTAGTCAATTAGATTTTTTTAAAATACTACTTTATAAACTTGATGAGTGGTATTTCGATTCAAAACGAGTCGAAAACGAAAGAACACATCTTAGTTCGTGTTCGGCTCGTTAACTTATCGAATGAAATTAACGAGCCGAGCACGAGCTTCTTAACGAGTCGAACACAAGCTGTTCGCGAACAACGAGCCGTTTTGACAGCCCTTAATAAGCGATTGTTTTAGATTTTGTTTGTAAAATTTATTTTTTGAAAGTGAACAATCAAGTCATATGATACTACACCGAGTACATATAGACGTTATTAATTGGGGAGATTAATTTACTTTTGATGCATGCTAACCAAAATCATTCTAACCGAGTACACTAGAATTGCAAGTCCTTTTGCATTCTAACCAAAACTATAAATGAAACCTATAGCCATTCATGTCATAAATTTGTCAATTTTTTAACACATGTAATAGACTCCGTGCAATATCTATTAAATCATAATTCGTTACTCCATTGTTTTGATCACAAATCTAATAATTCTTAAATAGTCATAGTTTTTCCTTCAAATTATAAATCAATAAATATGCGAGAAAAGTTTAATTTACGTGCGTTGTAAATCTTCGAAGTTTTTCTTTATCTCATGATTTATGGTATCTTATTCGTGTGAATTTAACAAGCATGCAACTAAGTTGTTTGTGCATTGAAATATATTTAAAAAAAATTGAAATTATGTTTAATTGAAAATGGATGAAAAACTATTAATAAATAATATTTTACTTAATATATGGTTGAATTTCATCGCAATTGACAAGATCATAAGGAGTTGATATGCACCTTCTCGATGATTCACCTAATTGTTGGAAAATAAAAATCATAGAGGGAGCACCACATAATATTATGAGTATAAAGTAGTAAATTCATGATATGAACATTGCATTTCAAATTCTATATAGAATGATAATGAATGACCAATAAGAGTAGCGCAAGATAATCTGGCTGCATGGTGTGAAGTCATCGGAACATAAGCTAAGCCTAACACTAAGTGCCTCCACAACAAATTCATGATATGTATGATCAAAACCTTTCCATGCTTCTTTGTTTTCAGGATGATACTTTTAACTAATTTCACTTGATCTGTTATGCTGTCATCACATATACTGAGCCGTACACGTAGAAGCAAATAATATTTGAAGTTGGAAAGTGGTAAATATATGTGACACTTGTATGAAACTATTTTATGTATCTTTTTTATTATTATTATGTGGTTTGAATCTATATGACTCATTGAATTTAACTGATTCACAAAATCTACATTGAGTGTTTATTACATCAGTCTTATAAAACAAGATGCATTCATTTATATAAGATTTAGTATTCTCTTGTTTCAAATATAAGTTGGAGATCAGTTTTGTTCGTTTTGTATAAGTCTTGATGTGTTTTAGAAATTTCTCCGCGGTAGAGTGATGGATTATCATCTTAGTGTTGTACGATAATTCAAAACACAATTAGGTCAAAAAAATCAGTAATGACACCATAAGTTTTCATGTGAAAAACCCGTAAAGGAAAAAAATCATGGGGTCTTACCTAGTTTAAGAAATTAATTATTGGTTGATGACTACAAAGACCCATTATCTTACAGACAGGAAATAGTAGTTATATTTTCCAAATTACAATGTCAAGCTGACGACGTCTTATTGTGGTGATTGACGATGATTGGTGGTGATTAATGATTGTTAGCGATGGCCGATGAAGGTCAGTGGTGGCTGCGACGAAGTAGCGCCTGCCAGCGATTGAAGATTGTCGACGGCGGTCGGCAGTGGATGATGACGAATGGCGGTGTCGACGACGTTAAGAGAAGATCGACAGAGGTTGACGACGATGGATGATCAAAGGTGAGCGGCGGTGATCGACGATGATAAACGACAATCAGTGGTCGATGGCAATTTGTGAGTTTCGACTGGGGTCGGCTGTGGTTGGCGGCGGTCGGCAGTCGACTTCAAGCGACGGTGGTCATTGACGGTCAGTGGTGGCCGACGTCCAAATGACTATGATCGACAACAGTCGGGATGGTGTTGGAATTCAACTCCTTCTCAAATCTTCAAGTTCCCTCTCAAGACCCTGACTCTCCCCTCATTAGGGCTGTAAACAAGCTGAACACGAGTTCGGCTCGTTTATATTTCGAGCTCAAAAAGGGTGTTCGTGTTCGACTGATTTGCTTAGCGAGCCGAACACGAGCCGTTCACGAACAAATAGTCGTTTTGACGACCCCAATCACGTAGCCATAAGATATTAAGTATTTGGGCAAGATTTAAAATATCATTTGAATCTAATTTAATATTTTTATTCTATTTTCTTAATTAATACTTTTAATTGATTATAAATCGTTGTAGCATTGTAGTCAATTAAATTATTTAAAAATACTACTCATCAAATATATATA